TCTTGTACAGACTCACCATTATGTTTTTTTTTTTTAATTAGCATAAATGTGTTGTGAATAGTTTTTATGTTCACAAAATGCAAGTACAAATAGAATGATTAATGATACGAGTAATCGTAAAATATCATGTATTTTCTACAATTTTTGGGAACTTTAAATTGGCAAAATCATATTCACAAACATAACCATCTCTTTTCATTCCTAAAGTTTTGTATTTTGATCATTCTAACTCTTATATCATAATTTATTAAGATATGATTTTATGAGATGTTAGATGAAATTTAAAATAATGCAATTTTTCTTACAACTAAAAAAACTCGAATGAGATTGGATATCTACCGGATATGAAACCATTAAAAAATTATTATTATTATTCGACTTTATTAGATGTGAGTTAGGTAAACCGATCGAATATATATGTATATATTTCAATTTTATCTATCGTCATTTTTAAATTAATATAACTTATTAGACCACTCATGTTCATTATATATTGTCTACATCTTATTTGTAATTATATATAAACATTTGAGATTGATAAATTATGTGTAATCAAATACCTAAATGTTATTTATAACTTTAGATCTTTAGTTTAAACAAAGTTAATGATTTAATCTTGTAGTTTTAGAAAATTGTTAGTCCTTATATTTTAACATTCATCTATAATTCAATCCTTTTTTATTTCTTTTTCTTTTTCCATTTATCTTCTTTTTTCTTGACAAATAGAATAAAGAAAGAAGAATTAGGTAAAATGTTAAAATTTGACTAGGAAACAAGTGTATTTGGAACGCAAAACAAGTAAATTGAGGATGATCAACATCAGTCAAGGAACTACTTCATTATATATTATGATTCAGTGACTAATTAACTATTTTTTGATAAAATCAAGGACTAAGTAAATAGTTAAGTCAAATCTAAAAACCGAGAGGGATTAGGCTGCCTTATTAAGGTCAACAGAATACGTGGTTTGACCTGTAAACACGTGCCACGTATATAGCAAAAGATTTATAGTGTACTGAAACACAGGAAATCAAGGCAAGACACAAACAAACCAAATCCTGGAACAGAAGAGGAGAGGAGAAAAGAGAAGTACTCAAACCGAAAGTCTGGTGTCTCATCTCTGGTTCAAAAGTTGGAGCTTATTTATTTATTTGAATCATTCAGCTTATCGATTCAAATCCAATCCTTTAAATTCAATGGTAAATTACTTACCTTCATTTCTCTTTCCTCTTTTAAGTTTTGATTAGTAATACTTCAACTTTAACTTCAGGTTTTTACGTAATTGATCGATTTGATAACGAAGGAAAGATTTAATCTTTTATTATTTTAGCTTCGGAGAAGAAAACCCTTTTGATTTGCTTGTTTCTCTTGGCTAGCAATCAGAAGATCTCATGTAAATTACTATCATGTCCTGACTATGATTGTGGGGTTCTTTTCTGTTTTCTTTTTCAGCCAATTCCTAATCCTTTTTTTTTAATGACCTGGATTTAATTATGGATTCCTGCCAACTCTTCTATGCTTTCGATTCTGTAGTTAATTATGTGTCTTCCAATTAGAAATTTCATATCAATTGTTATTTGATGTTCTATATTTTGATGTTTTGGTTATGTTCCAGACCCTCTACTTAGAAAATCTTGCCTTTTTGATCCACAGATGAGAATTGAGCTAAAAGGATATTTTGTTGTTTTATTGCTGGCACTTTTATCGAGCCCAGAAGCCGTGTTTGGGATCAGATTTGTGATTGATAGGGAAGAATGCTTCTCTCACGATGTTAAATATGAAGGAGATACAGTTCATGTTTCTTTTGTTGTAGTTAAGGTTGATTCGTCTTGGCATTATAGTGATGATGGTGTTGATCTTGTGGTAAGCCCTCCAATCTTTCTCACAGTTGGTTCATTTTTTCTCTTTTTCTCTTTTTTTTTTTTTTCTTTTTCATTTCAAGTTACATTAATTTCCTAGGGATACCTTTTGATTTGCGATATGCATAAGCAGGCATAAATATTTGAAGTTCATTTCAATGTGCATATACTATTCTAGCTACCTTTTGTCTTACTATTTATTTTTGTCATGAATCTGCATGATAGTTCCCAATACCTTGTACTCCTTGTACTATCAGTTTCGGCATCTCTTAAACGTCTCTCCTCCCCTCACCCCACCTCGCTTCTCTTTCTTACTGGTAAAATGCCTAAATGAAGCTTGCTTCTGAGCCGCAGTTCATCATAGTTCTGTGTAATATCAAATGTAAAACAAAGGATCACTTCCTTTGGCTTAGTATGTTTTGAGGTTATTACGTTACAGTAGAAGCAGTGATGGTTATGAAGCTAGTCTATAGTTCACTTGGATAATTTCATTGAGGCACTGGATTCAAGCTGATTCTGACATGTTTCTTTTGTTCTATGCATTGTCATTCATTTATTTCTGCTTTGGAAAACTTCTTCTAATCTTGTAGTTCTTTGGAATCAAACCTTTTTTTATTTCTAATCTTCGAAATACTGGCAAAATGATGCTTCATAGCCTGTTCAAGTTAAATTTGTTATGAGTCATCAATGGCGTTCATAAGGAGAAACAGCTAGACTGGTAGCTAGGAAGACTAAAGGGGTTGAACCAGCATACCTCACATGCATTGAAATGTCATGTATTAATCTAGATTTTATTTATTTATTTATTTTGGAGGGGAAGGTTATACATATTTGATACTTGCAGAGATGCTATGTCTGATAAACATCTTTAAAATAAGGTTTTCCCTGTACTTTTTTATTTTGACTTTTATTTGTCACTCAGATATTTAGCTGGAACACTGTTGTCTTAGTACAAAGACTTTCTGTTAATTTAGCGAAACTAACAGATTTTTTTGGAAATAAGATTACTTTTCATGTTTCTATATGTAGATTGTAATAGTATTCAATTATGAAATTTCAACTATTATATGTCTCAAGTCTTATGTGGCTGGTAACAGCTGATACATTGTTATATTGTCAGTCATTCCTGTCCTGATCTATCAATGGTTTTGAACTTGCAGGTAAAGGGACCTTCTGGTGATCAGATTCATGATTTTCGTGACAAGATAAGTGAGAAATTTGAGTTTATGGCTCATCAGAAAGGAGTCCATCGTTTTTGCTTTACTAACAAGTCTCCTTACCATGAAACCATTGACTTTGATGTCCATGTTGGTCACTTTTCATACTATGATGAGCATGCAAAGGATGGTAAGTAGTTGGGTATGCTTCATGTTTTGCCATTACACTGAATCTTGAGAATGATGAGGTTTTGGTAATTTCTTGTACATTTGCAGAGCATTTTCAACCTTTGTTAGAACAGATATCTAAATTAGAGGAGGCTCTTTACAACATTCAGTTTGAACAGCATTGGCTAGAAGCTCAGACTGATCGTCAGGCAATTAGTATGTTCAAGATCTTTCCCTTTTTGTTATTTAATTGATGAAAGGTATTTTTTTTTTCAATTTTTTGATGCTCAGACTTCACTAAATCGCACTTCGCTATTTTTCTTCGATTCTTCAGTCTTATAAGCAGGATGATTTATTGGCTTCAAACTGAATTAATGTAGCATAGATCTTCTTACCATCTAAACTGTCAAAAACTTTTAAATTTCTAATTTCCTTAACCCTCACTCTCTCTCTTTTTCTGTTGGGGTGCTGGTGGTGGAAATAAACATTAGGTATCACACCCAAATACACATGATTGTTGTATTCATAAGCTTCCCAAGCATATATTGCCCTATTAGCTGAAAGACTGAATTTCCTATAATCATTTTGTTGTCTAACAAATTTCACTGGTTGTGGATGCAGTAAACGATGCAATGAGCCGGAGGACGATTCATAAGGCCTTCTTTGAATCTGCAGCACTTGTCGCTGCTAGTGTTCTGCAAGTTTACCTGCTCCGTCGCCTGTTTGAGCGAAAGCTTGGGATGTCCAGAGTTTAGATTGGGCACGCTGCGGATTACTTGTAGGAAAATGCAAGCTGAGCAGGATTTCAAACTTCTGTTTCCTATTTTGATGGTTTAGGGGGAAAGAGCACTTGTAGACACTACCTCTTTAAAACTTTTGAGATAATGGAATTATACATTTATGGCTTTTCAGATGGGTTTTGCTGTTCAGGCAATCTTTGCCCTTGAGCAAGGTCCACAAGCGCCTTATTTCTTATTCTTTTCCACTTGTTAGGGGAGAGGGGATTCGAACTTGGCCTTCTCTTAAGAGAATATACCGCTGCTTTGTACTTTAAGTTTGGTCCTCAAATGGCATTTACACCATCGGCTGCCAACTGAAGTAGGATTTCATCCAGTGGCAGCCATCCAGAAATGTTTTTATGTGTTTTGTAAAAAGCTAGCCCACAATTGACTCTCGGACCAGTTAACCATTAGTGCAGATGGATAACCCTAATGCATCATTAGGGCTTGTTTCCTTTATGTCATCTTCCATAACTGTTTCTAGGTTTAGGCCTTAAGTACGGGTAGCAAATTGGAGGAATGACCAAAGTAGTCCCGAGTACTTTGAAACAAGAAGGCGTCGAAGAATTTCCTAATAATTTGAAGAGTCGAGTTGACAAATCAAAAGAGGTTTCAGTTTTCTTGGTGATTTTTCTTTGCTCTTCTCCATTTCTTAGAACCCTGGTCTCTTTTTTTCTTTTTTGGGGACCATCTGTTGCTCGGCTTTAAGATCTTCTATGTACCACTTCCCTGTGTTGCCGAGTTTCAAGAGCTCTTCAGAAAAGAATTTAAAAATTATGTATTTCACAAACAAAGCCCATTTAATAGTACATAAAACAAAATGACAAAAGCTCTACAGCTTATAACATGAGAGAGAGAGCAAGGAGAAGAAAAAACATATTGGTGCATAATAGATACAATAATTGTGTATTTGCTCTTTCCCCCCACCACAACAGTTTTACAACACAAAAAACAAATTCCATTTAGTAAATATATTGTGGGGCCACAGATAGATGAAGATACTCTTCTCCTGAAGCTCTTAGGTGGGAAAGGCATCGTCAAGACTCCACATGCGGACTTTGGATACAGCAAAACCATTTTTTCTGAAAATCAGTAAATTATCCATGTTAAAAAGAATGGTAACATGACACCCATACACTTATGAGATAGAGAAGATCGTAGCCCACCCATGAATTTGATGTTACATTTCTATGCTGATAATTTTTACAAGGAACTTGAACTGCAAAACTGAATAATGTCTCACCATATTTATCATTAGTGCATTTCCAACCATCTGGATGGACTTTCCCAATGGAGCCATGCATTACAATTGATAAGATGATAGCCACATCCATGTGGGAGAAAGACCAGATCAGACAGTTCCATGTTCCTCTCCCACAGATTTTCTGAGCAGCAATTTCCCTTGCTCAGATGACATGGTTAGACTATCTGACCTTTCCCCCAACATTTCTGTGGCCATAAATTTTGCAAATTTCCTCAATCATCCTAACTTCTGTAACAGCTAAATGATATCCTTTGAATTCTGACGCAAAATGATATCCACAATATGACTGGCCACAGGTGAAAACTCAACAAAAACCAATCCAAATCTACATGATAGGCTACATCGAATTTTTCCCCCTCTATTTTGTTGCATATTGAATCGGGGTTTCTTAAGCTCTGGATCCACACAGTTGAAAACTGACGTACACACAAGCATGGAAAAATAGCCATTCAAGCAGGCTGTTATACATGACTAGGGAAAGGATATGCTATCTTGGCTGCCTAATGCATGTGTCATTTGCGAGACACATACCTGCATTGTTTCAGGATAAAGGGAGTGGTTATGTGATGAAAATATGAAAAAAACTTACAGTCTGAGGTTTGGCAGGATTTACTCCAGGCTTGACATGAGAATCAACAACCTTTTCTGGTGACTCCGGTTTGCCACCTGTCTTCTTCTCATCCCTTGCCTTGTTAAATATCACAGTAAATCCCTCAGCTGATGCAGGATCATTGACATCCCATTCACCAAATTTTGGCAGTGGCCGACCTGCGTCCTGCAGGAAAGAAAGAAAGACAAGAAGAGAGTCTTCGTCAAGATTCTCACAGCTGTATAAGTCAGGGGAGATCCATGCATCAAGTGGCAGTGGTTTTAAATTTAACATCAAATACTACAGAGATTTAGAAATATGGCCACAAAAGTTCAGTACAACAACATCATGGTTTCGCTGTGGTCCAATCGAGTCAAAGGAGTCTTAACAAATAATAAACACCACCACCTAAACAACAAACTATGTGCTCTTGTTCTATCGAAATAATTCACCAGAACTGAAAACACAGAACTAAAATAATGATAATGAAGAAACCACAAATAAAGTAAAGCAGGTTTCAACTTTCAAATGATCTAGTGTGCCATCACATATGCAGGAGCAGAAGTAGCTTAAAAGAAAACATGTATAATTCTGAATGCCCGTTGCCATAGACATAAGCAACACCCATAGATAACTTCGGATAAAGAACTCTATGATCTATTATATAGAACTCAAATAACCCATTAAATATAAATGCAAAAGCTTATAATCTTCAATGAGATCAAAATATATATATATATATATAGTATAATGGATGAGACACATGTTACATGGTCATTTCCGAAGCTACGCTAACATATTCAACTCATCAACTTCAATCATTCAATAAAACTCCAAAATTCTACTCGCTTGAACATCCTAACTACATAAGGTAACAACATTCCTGAACAGCAATTCTCTTCATTACAAAAAGACCTTTCTTTATTCTTCCAAACACAAAAAGCTCTAAAATCACCCCCTAATGAAAGTTACGAATAGCTTCCCCAGCTCCTATATGCGCTTCTAGAGCTTTCAACTTTCTTAATTAAACAAATATCAAAGACATAAGCAAATACGAAAATTTGCTAAGCAAGCAATTACAGACACAAAATTGTCAATCCAAACATACTTTCTTTTTCTGTACTCTGTGCATAAATCACATGTATAGTTTATTAACTACACGTCATAAACATAAATTAACAAAAAAAAATTAAAAAAAAAATCCACTTCTCTAAACATTAAATATAATTTCCTAAACAGCTCTAACAAAAAGAAAAGAAAATCAGTGGAAATGAAAATTAAAAATTAAAAATAATCACAAAATGAGTTGATCAAAATTATATCCTCTAAAAAACAAAAAATAACAAACAAGATCAAATCAACATAATTCAACAAAAAAAAAAACAATATTTGTAATCAACAGAAAAGGCTAAACCATCAAAAATCTGATATAAATCAATCAAAAACCAGCAAAAATAATATTAAAAATATATATATAGACAGAAAATTTAACACATAAAACAAAAGGTATCAGTATGCGTATAGACTATAGATAGAGAAACAACATACCGACATGAATTCTAGATAGAAAGAGAGACTTTCAGCTAAAAATAAACGAGTAATCACAGAGAGGAGAGAGGGGGAGAGAGAGAGTTTCCTTTTTTCAGAGAGAGAGAGTGTGAAATGGGCCTGAATGGGCCTGTCTGTATTCTAACATAAAGGAGGAGTTAGCTGTTTACTTGTAAGAGTAACGGAAATGTTAAAGGCCGCCGTTAGTCCGTCGTCATCAATGACGTGGGAAGAGAGATTGAAAACGGAACGGGTAGTGAGCTGGCAAACGGCGTAATTGGGAGAAATGTTGGGCTATATAGAGGCAATCTGTACAATTGACTTGCTGGCACTGTTTTAAAAGTTTGGTCCTTTTGCTTTGTCTTTTCTAAATAATACATACACACGTAATAATTAAACCATCGATATATATATATAATTTATTTATTTATTTTTTTTTTGGTTTACAGTCAACCAAAGTTTTAGATTTCAATTTTTTCATGCTGCTATTATTTGATCTTAAGAATGCACAAATTTAGGGGTTGGTTTATGTGATAACATATTATTTGGATCTTTTGAAAATGTACATTATGAAAAATTAATAGTTATTTTGACTAAAGAGATTATCCTATCATTTTATTATTGTATTTGTTTCAATTATGATCAATAGCTAAATATCGTTTAATTGAATATAATATAGACAATTAATTTTTTAAAAATTAAATATAATTAAAAATCGTATAAAATATATGATATTACGTGATTTGTATATCATAAAAAAATAATAAAATAAAAATTTCATCTAAGTGTTAAGTTATTTACATGATGATCACATAACTAGTTAGGTTCTCTTTTGTTTTCTATTTATTAAACTGTGAGATATAAATATATTTTTTTTCTAAATTTTAAATCCTGAATTTTTTGCTAATAATTAAAAATCCTTCAAATCTTGATCAAATTAAAATGTAATATTAGAATAATATTTTTACATTTTATGGGTTTTGGAACTATACTATTTAATATAAATATTATATCATTCATCTGGTATATAGATAGATTCAATTTTCATCTCAAATGGAAATTATTATTTGTTTGTGTCATTCGCAACTAGATGTCAGTTAACTATGGCACGTAATTATTGAGCTAGTTGGAACAAAAAAAAAGCTAATGACAAATTATTAACAAGACCAGTTTTAAATAATTGAGATAAACAGCTAGACAAAATGATTGGTTAAGCATTGAAGGAAGGGATGAGAAAAAGGACAAAATAATCGAAAGAACAGACACCCTAAGCTAGCGCATTATTTTTCGTTTTGCGTTTGGTCAAAAACAGGTCGTGAACTGGGATCTATCCAAGGATATGCTTTACCAATTCTAAGTTATTAGGTGTTTGGGCTTTTGCTTTTCATTTATTTAATAATAATAACTAATGATAATACTAATCTCTATCAGTATTCCGAGCCGCTCTGTTACTATGTCAATTTGTACCCAAATATTATTTTAATACAAAAATAATATCTTCTAGCCTGTAATGAATAGTTACACAATTAAAAGATTAATGTTAGTAGTTAATGGGATAAAAAAAAGTATTATTATGCTAGATTAAATTAATTATTACTATAATATTATAAAATAAATAAAAATAATAAGAGAATTGAAGAAAATAATGACAAGAAAATGAAATCACTATAATGTGAATATAAGTGATACGAACTTCAAAGTTTCTCTTATTCTCTCTAGGAAACTTGTAAACCAAATAATGACTAATCAAGCCTATTTATAGACTTCAAAATTAAGAAGAGAATTGGAATGGACTATGAATAATCAATTGCATCATCCTTTTAATTTCTCATATTGAATGATGAGTTAAATCATATTAAGAATCATTAGTAGTGGGGATATAAAAAGTAGATGAATATGATGATAGACATTCATTATTTCATAACACTCCCCTCGAATGTCCATTGTACAAGGAACATGTCTCGTTAAAACCTTACTAGGAAAAAACCCGAGTGGGAAAAAATCCTAGTGAAGGAAAAAGAGTACAATATTCCTTGCACACATTAATCCCAATTTTTGTCTCCCCTGTTGAAGACATTATTTAAGATCTCTAAGATGACGCATTCCAATCTTGTGAATCATCTTCTCAAAAGTTGTGATAGGTAATGTTTTAACGAATAAATCTATCTGGATTGTCACTTTGATGTATTCTTCCTTCAATGGAATTATCCAAGCAGTATTATCCTCATATGATATTGTTCGAACTTCTTGTAGATAAACTACATGTCTCTCGGATACGATGGATCATTGATCTTAGCCAAACACATTCTCGACTTGCCTCGTGAATTGATATTTCGCATGATTTGAAGATATGGCAACTATAGTTTGTTTTATAAAACACAAAGATATAATTGGATCTCCATATGTAAATATATAACCGAGTTATGATCGAGCTTTGTGTAGATCGGATAATTAACTTGCATCCGCATAACCAATTAATCTTGTCTTTGATTTATTGGAGTAATATAAGCCCATATCAATTATTTCTCAAAGACAATGTAGTATATATTTAACTTTATTTCAATGTCTCTATATTGAATGAACTATGACTTGTTAACAAATTTATATAAAAGACTATATCGAGTCGAGTATTATTAGCAAGATACGTCAATACACCGAGTGGCACTAAAATATGGTACTTCGGGACCAAGTAGTTCTTCGTTATCTTCTCGAGGTCGAAAAGGGTCTTTTTGGATATCAAGTAATGAACTACCATTGGGCTAGTCAATGAATGATCTTTATATAGAATCATTATAGAACATTTTTCTATATAAATTAACTAATAAATGAAAATCTCATTCTCCGAGTGCTCGAACTCGTCGAGATAACATTTTGTTTTCCCAAGATATTCACATCAAATTCTCTTTTTAGGTAACTTATGACACTTGAAATCTCTTCGGGAGTTCCAATAATATTTAAAAAGTATATACAACAAATCCCTTTTCAAATAAAAACATATGAATAAATAGAGTTATTTTTTATAATTTTCTTTCAACAAATAATCATTGAAGTGATTATATCACATGCATGCGAGTTAGTAATAAACAATAAATATAAAAAGTATAAATTGAATTTCTAAAAATAAAATAATAAAACAAATACTAAAATAATCCTAATAGAGATCTCTATAATTTAATTGAATTCTTATCTCGAGAATATATATTACATGCTTCGGCATGTTAATTCCTTTTAGGACTTTCATACTGATTCATCTCAAATGAACAAACAAATTGTGATCACATTTATTAAATACATGTATATGTTTTTTTCATATATTTTACCGAGGCTAATGAGATAATAAAATATAATTGCATTTATTAAAGGAGAATATGTCTCCTCATAGTCAATGTCGGTTCTTTGCAAAAACTCTTATGTTGAAAGTTTTGCTTTGTATCTTACAATCTCATCTTTCTTATTTCGTGTTCGCATAAATACTTATTTGTATTCCACCGAGCTTAACATCTTCGGGTGTTTTAGCTGTGGGTTCAAAAACTACTCTTTGTAGGAGAACATAATTCTGCTTGGATTGCTCTTTTCATTTAGGTCAATCATCTTAATGTCAACATTCTTCACTAATTTAGACTCGGGATCCTTATTTTCATTCAAAATATCAATTATAACTTTACACACAAAAATCTTATCAATAAATATTTCTCTTCGGTCCTATTTTCTTTTCGTATTGACATAATTTATCAAAATCTCTTGAT